AAGGACTGGAACCTGAACAAGTGTTTAATTGTGACGAAACAGGCCTGTTTTGGAAGAAAATGCCAAGCAGGACCTACATTACTCAGGAGGAAAAGGCACTCCCAGGACATAAGCCTATGAAAGACAGGCTTACTCTGCTGATGTGTGCCAATGCTAGTGGTGATTACAAAGTGAAGGCTTTATTGGTGTATCACTCTGAAACTCCCAGAGTGTTCAGGAAAAACAATGTCTTCAAGGCTAATTTGTGTGTGCTGTGGAGGGCAAACAGTAAAGCATGGGTCACTAGGGACTTTTTCTATGACTGGTTACACCATGCATTTGCCCCCAATGTGAAAAATTACCCAATTGAAAAGAAATTAAACCTTAAGTGCCTCCTGGTATTAGACAATGCTCCTGGTCATCCTTCAGACTTGGCAGAGTGACTTTCTAGGGATATGAGCTTCATTAAGGTGAAGTTTTTGCCTCCTAATACCACTCCTCTCCTGCAGTCCATGGACCAGCAGGTTATTTCCAACTTCAAGAAACTGTACACAAAAGCTATGTTTGAAAGGTGCTTTGTAGTGACCTCAGAAACTCAACTGACTCTAAGAGAGTTTTGGAAAGATCATTTTACCAACCTCAACTGTGTAAACATTATAGGTAAGGCTTGGGAGGAAGTGACTAAGAGGACCTTGAACTCTGCTTGGAAAAAACTGTGGCCAGAATGTGTAGACGAAAGGGATTTTGAAGGGTTTGAGGCTAACCCTGAGAATCCTATGCCAGTTGAGGAATCCATTGTGGCATTGGGGAAGTCCTTGGGGTTGGAGGTTAGTGGGGAGGATGTGGAAGAGTTGGTGGTGGAGGACAGTGAAGAACTAACCACTGATGAGCTGCTAGATCATCTTGAACAGCAAGAGGGCACACCTGAGGAAACTGCTTCGGAGGAGGGGAGAGAGAAATTGAAGAAGTTGCCTACTTCTAAGATAAAGGAAATGTGTGCAAAGTGGCTTGAAGTGCAAACCTTTTTTGATGAAAATCACCCTGACACAGTTACTGCAAGCCGTGTTGGCAACCTATACACTGACAATGTTGTGAACCACTTTAGGAAAGTCATAAAGGAACGAGAGGTACTGGTATCTATGGACAGATATGTTGTGCGACAGAAGTCCAGTGACTCTGAAGCTGGTCCTAGTGGCATTAAAAGAACAAGGGAAGTAACCCCAAAAAAAGACTTGCTGCCTCAAGTGCTAATGGAAGGGGATTCCCCTTCTAAACACTAAGAAGATCAACACTCTCCCCTCCTCCCATCCCAACAATCATCACCAGATCTTCAATAAAGGTAAGTGTCATGTAACTGTGCATGTAATCTTCAGTTTGTGTGTATTAAAATTAATATTTCATGTGGTAAAATTATTTTTTTTTCAATACTTTTGGGTGTCTTGCACGGATTAATTTGATTTCCATTATTTCTTATGGGGAAAATTAACTTGACTAGCGATAATTTTGACTAACGATGAGCTCTCAGGAACGGATTAATATCGCTGGTTGAGGGTCCACTGTATTTCCATTAATTCTTATGGGAAATATTATTTCAGTTTTCGGCCATTTCGCTTAGGCCGAGCTTCTGGAATGGATTACGGCTGATAACCGAGGGACCATTATAATTCATTGTTTTTGCCACTTGTTTATTGTGTGTGCTAAATAAGCAACTACAGCCCCAAAGAAAGCTCCTAGTGCCAGTGCTTTGGTAAAGAAAGTGAGGAACACAGTAGAACTGAAAAAAGAAATCCTAAGAAAATACGATAGTGATATACGCATTGCTGAACTCGGCAGGATGTACAGGAAGTTGCCATCTACAATCAGCTCCATTGTGGCAAAGAGAAAAGAAGTCATGGAAACTGATGCTGTAAAAGGGGTGAATGCGATAACCAAACAGAGATCCCAAAAAATTGAAGAAGTGGAGACATTGTTGTCGGTGTGGATCAGAGAGAAAGAGTTAGCAGGAGATAGTGTTGTGCAGTCTACTATTTGTGAAAAGGCAAGGCAGTGCATGACAACCTCAAAGAAATTGCATGAAACAAGTACAGTGGACCCCCGGTTAACGATTTTAATCCGTGCAAGAGGGCTCATCGTTATGCGAAATAATCGTTATGCGAATGAATTTTCCCCATAAGAAATAATGGAAATAAAATTAATCCGTGCAAGACGCCCAAAAGTATGAAAAATTTTTTTTTTTACCACATGAAATGTTAATTTTAATACACACAAACTGAAAAAGGCATGCACAATTAAATGACACTTACTTTTATTGAAGATCTGGTGATGATTGATGGGATGGGAGGAGGGGAGAGCATTATCTTCTTACTGTTTAGAAGGGGAATCCCCTTCCATTAGGACTTGAGGTAGCAAGTCCTTTTCTGGGGTTACTTCCCTTCTTCTTTTAATGCCACTAGGACCAGCTTGAGAGTCACTGGACCTCTGTCGCACAACAAATCTGTCCATAGAGCTCTGTACCTCCCGTTCCTTCAAGACTTTCCTAAAATGGGCCATAACATTGTCATTGAAATAGTCACCAGCACGGCTTGCAACAGCTGTGTCAGGGTGATTTTCATCTATAAAGGTTTGCAGTTCAACCCACTGTGCACACATTTCCTTAATCTTTGAAGTAGGCACAATGGATTCCACAACTGGCATAGGCTTCTCAGGGTTAGCCCCAAACCCTTCAAAATCTTTCTTAATTTCCATACTAATTCTCACCCTTTTTACCACAGGGTTGGCACTAGAAGCTTTCTTGGGGCCCATGGTCACTTATTTTCCAGAAACAGCACCGAAAACACTGTAATAATACGAAATATTCCGAGTGTATGCTTGGATGTTACCGCGGAGGCTGGCTGGTAAACAATGGGACGGCCGGCACATGTGAGGGCACATTGGACGCGTCTCGGACGAAAATCGGTAAGCGGGTTTTTAATCGGTATGCGCGGCAAAAATTTTGCGATAAAAGTAATCGGTATGCGGAAAAATCGCTATGTGATGCCATCGTTATGCGGGGGTCCACTGTACTGATGTAGGCGAATTTAAGGCCAGCAAAGGCTGGTTTGAAAAATTCAAGAAGAGGAGTGGCATACAGTGTTGTAAGGCATGGTGAGGGTGAAAGTTCAGAAAAACAAGTGGCTGAAAAATTCGTGTGGGAATTCAAGTGTTATGTAGAGGCTGAAAAATTCCAACCCCAACAAGTGTTCAACTGTGATGAAACAGGCCTGTTTTGGAAGAAAATGCCAAAGAAGACCTACATTACACAGGAGGAAAAGGCACTCCTAGGACACAAGCCTATGAAAGACAGGCTTACTCTCTTGTTGTGTGGTAATGATAGTGGGGATTTCAAAGTGAAGCCTTTACTGGTGTATCACTCTGAAAATCCCAGTGTGTCGAAGAAAAACAGTGTTGTCAAGAATAAACTGTGCGTGATGTGGAAGGCTAACAGGAGAGCATGGGTTACTAGGGAAATTTTCCTGGAATGGTTCAATGAAGTGTTTGGCCCGAGTGTGAAGAAATACCTCCTGGATAATAAATTGCCACTCCAGTGCCTCCTGTTAATGGACAATGCTCCTGGAAGACCAATTGTCGAAGGAATTCAGTTTTATAACAGTGAAGTGACCCTAAGAGAGTTCTGGAAGAATCACTTCAATATCTTCCACTGCATAGCCTTATAGATAAGGCTTGGCAGGGAGTGACTTCAAGGACAATGAACTCTGCTTGGGGAAAATTTTGGCCAGATTGTGTCCAAAAGAAAGATTTTGAAGGCTTTGAGGCTGACCCTATCGACCCTACACCTGTTGTGCAATCAACTGTGGCATTGGGCAATTCCATGGGGTTGGATGTGAGTGGCCAGGATGTGGAAAAGTTGGAGGAGGACCACAATGAAGAGTGAACCACTGATGAGCTGCAAGAGCTTCATTTGCAACAGCAACAGACCACAGCTAAAGAAACTGCTTCAGAGGAGGAGGAAGAGAGATGGAAGAAGGTGCCTTCTTCAAAGATTAAGGAGATTTGTGCAATGTAGACTAAAGTGCATTCATTTGTGGAGGAACATCACCCTGAGAAAGCTGTTGCAATCCATGCTGATGACTTTTACCATGACAATGCCATGTCCCATTTTAGGCAAATCTTAAAGAGACGCCAGAAACTGACCTATCTGGACAGATATTTTGTGCGACAGGGGTCCAGTGACTCTCAAGCTGGTCCTAGTGGCATTAAAAAACAAAGGAGGGAAGTGACTCCGGATAAGGACCTGGTGAATATCAAAATGGTATACAGTACCGACAGGTTGGTAGGTAAGACACATAGACAACTTTATTCCGAAACGTTTCGCCTACACAGTAGGCTTCTTCAGTCAAATACAGAAAGTAGGCAGGAACAGTAGAGATGTGAAGATGATGTAATCAGTCCATCACCCTTGAAGTCGTAGATTTGAGGTTGTCAGTCCCTCAGCCTGGAGAAGTTCAGTTCCACAGTCTGGAACTATCTGAAGATCAAGCGACAGTGCGGAGACTTAAATACTGTCGGAAGGAGAAGGAGAGGTGCAGAGAAGCAGTAGTGAGAATGCAGCCACTGAGAGGTCACGTCCCTCTCAGATCAAACAAGTCTCACTTGAAAAAGTTGTCCAAGGTGTTTTCTGCACCAAGATGCCATTGTGTTGCAATGTCTGACAGGGTGAATATCAAAATGGTATACAATACCGACAGGTTGGTGGGTAAGACACATAAGCAACAGTAAGGCAACTCTATTCCGCAATGTTTCACCTACACAATAGGCTTCTTCAGTCGAATACAGAAAGTAGGCAGGAACAGTAGAGATGTGAAGACGATGTAATCAGTCCATCGCCCTTAAGTCATAGATTTGAGGTTGTCAATCCCTCAGCCAGGAGAATTTCAGTTTTGGAATAAAGTTGCCTATTATATTTATGTCGAACTTAGTGCTTAAGATGAACAGAAAGATCAAGTACCTCCTCTGATTTTTACCTTCAAATCTGCAGAGTGAGACGAACTGCTCCAGCACACGTCCAAACACAGCTTCCTCTAGCCCGATGCGCATGAACTCAGCCACAACAGCACGAAGAACAAACTTCTCCATTAAACTGCAACTTCTGCAGTCAGAAATATACTGAGTAAATTTCCATCATACAGTAGCAAATAGATTATCAAAGTTTATTAATGTACCTTTAATTTATTTTAAACAAATTATACAGTATATATCTGGGCACCTCTGCAAAGACAGTGATGTGTGAATGATGGTGAAAGTGTTTCTTTTTTTTGGGTCACCCTGCCTTAGTGGGAGACTTAAAAAAAATAATATTTTTAAATTTTCTTGTCTTCTTACCCTGCTATATAAAATTTTTAAAACTATGCTGACTTTTCTAACACAGCAAGGTGACCCAGAAAATGAAAGACATACACTAACATTTATTAAATTGCTGTCTTGCCAGAGGAGCACAAAAATCACAAGTGAAATGGCCTTCCAAACTAAAACATCCATACTCCTCCTTCAAAGTACAGACACTGTACTTACTACATACAGGGTTGATGTCTAGTTCAATGGTTTCCCAGAATCCCTTCATAAATATTACCTTGCTCATACTCCAACAGCACATCAAGCCATAAAAAATCACTTGCTTCCACTCACTCCAATCTAACATGCTCACACATGGCTACTGGATATTTGGACACCTACCACTTAAAAAATCTTGCACACCTTATCTCTAACTCTTCCTGGAATTACCCCGATTCCTCCCTCCTTCCACCCAAGGAGGGATGTATACACACCCTTATTGTCATCCTATACTTCTTAGTCTTATCTCAATGTCCAACTACCTCAACAACCCCTCCTTCACCCTCTGAATTATACCTTTCATAAAAGCACACCATCTTTTTAATTTCTACACTCTGAATTCTCTGATTAATATTTACACAATATTTTCCTCTCAAACATGACATCTACCTTATGGCAGTGATTTTAGGTGATGTGAACATCTCTTTAACTGCTTCATCAACATGTAGCATTCCAACCAGAGCTGCCCTCTTCATTAGGGATTTTGAAGGACTGAGTGGAAGTTTCTTGGTCTCTGCAATTTCTGTTGCTCTACGACAAATGTCAAGTGCTCTCCTGGCATCCCCTGATAAAGCTGCAACTTTGCGTGATACTAACTGTACTGCATCCGGGTCAAATGCTTCAATACCCAGCAGGCGAGACATCACTATTTCCTATAAAAAGATTGTGTGTATTACCCAATACTATAATTACAAAAATGATTACAGTCAACCAACAATTTAATGCACTAACAGGGGAAGGAGGGTTGGGGGTAGGGTGGAATGAGTGTCCAAAAATGGCAACAGTGGTAGAGAAAAAGAGAGATTGTAACAGTAAAAGACCAGTCTGTATCCAACAGACTGTTGTTGTTTCTGTAGCAACCAACCCAGTGGATTTTGTCCCTTATTTCCCAAGTACATTTAATTGAGGTCTGTTTATTCGAGGGTTTACTGTATTTTGATCTCTATAGTCTTAACAATTTACAAACATAATTTAAAATTCATCACCAGGATATTATAAGTAGTATGCCTCTTATTTCTTGATAATACAGTGGACCCCCGGTTTATGATCAGCTCCCAATGCGACCAATTATGTAAGTGTATTTATGTAAGTGCGTTTGTATGTGTATGTTTCAGGGTCTGAAATGGACTAATCTAATTCACAATATTCCTTATGGGAACAAATTCGATCAGTACTGGCACCTGAACATACTTCTGGACTGAAATAATATCGTAAACCGGGGGTCCACTGTATTACCTTAATTTTTTTCCAACATGCTGGCCATCTCCCACCGAGGCAGGGTGATCCAAAAAAGGGAAAGGCTTTCACCATCATTCACACACAATCACTGTCTTTGCAGAGGAGCATGATTACGACAGTTCAGGTATCCCTCCAAACAGCAAATATCCCAAACCCCTCCTTTAACGTGCAGGTATTGTACTTCCCACCTCCAGGACTCAAGTACGGCTAAACAGTTTCCCTGAATTCCCTCACAAAATGTTACCCTGCTCACACTCCAACATCTTGTCAGGTCCCAAAAGCCATTTGTCTTCACTCACTCCTAACACAAAGACCAAGACTTTAAAAGTCTCCTTTATCATGCCCCTGGATTAGATAAAAAAAAAAACAATCTCTCTCTCCCCCCCCCCCCCCCCACCAGTCAAGAATTCCAGGTGTCTTATTTGTCAACTTGCCAGTATTGTTTACTTTTGAGCTGGTGGTATGGGAATGTTGAGGTTTCATGGAAAGATTCGTCTTTACTGTCTTTGAATAACTGTGCTTTGGTTTTAAAGTGCCAACAAGCTGAAACTAAATAAAATTCTAAAAGGTAATATAACTAAAAAAATGTGAAATATTCAAAGAAATAGGCATATGCATTATGATAATCATACTAAACCAGTCAACTCTTGATAAAATGGACCTCTGTATAACAAACTTTTAAAACCATGGACAAAATCCACTGGGTAAATTGTAATTTTATTGCATTTATTTTCAAATGATTATTGCAGTACAAATGCAAACTGAGGGTATAGTACTACATTAGGTGTACAGTAAAGTATTTAATTTTTTTAGCTATTTTTTAACATTCTAGAATTAATGGACACTCAGATAATCTCCCCCATTAGTCCATTACACAGAGGGTTTTCTGTACTTTCATACCCAGAAAACATTGCAAACAGTTATGAATTGTATTTCACAGAGATATATACCATATTATGCTATGCATCTTAGCTACTGTATATGGAAATTATTACACACAGCTAGTTTTTAAGGTAAGGCCATCAGGAATATTTGCATCTAAGTTTTATTACACAACAGAAGTAAACTTGACAATTTTACTTAGGGATACACATGTGCTCCTTGACTTACAAAGAGGTTACGTTTTGATGAACCCATCGTAAGTAGAAAATATTGTAAGTCAAATATGAATATTTTATTTATTTAGCATAACTACTGTCACTGAATAAGTATATAAACAAATAATTATTATAATTAATTAAATACAGGATGGCCCTGCTTATACAGCAGGTTAGGTTCTCAGCTACTGCTGTAAAATGAAAATCGCACGTTCAAGCATCCCAGTTTTATAAAGTTTTTCTTCTCTTTTTTACTATTTTTTTCAGGAGAAGGGGTTACCAGCCCATTGGTCCCGGCATTTTAGTCGCCTCATATGACACGCATGGCTTACAGAGGAACGATTCTTTTCCACTTCCCCATGCTGAATAGAGGAAATAGAAGAACACGAACTATTAAGAAAAAAGAAGAAAACCTAGATGTGTGTATGAACATATATGCATGTGCCTGCCTGTGTAGTGTGACCTAAGTGTAAGTAGTAGTAGCAAGATATACAAACTAAATTCATTCCAGAAGGCTATTCGAGTGCCGTTACCGAACGAATTTGTTCCCATAAGGAATAATATAAATTAGATTAGTCCGTTTCAGACCTCCCAAAAATACACTTACAAAAGCACTTACAAAAGTACACTTAGATAATTGTTCGAGCTGGGAGCTGTTCGAAACTCGAGGTACCTGTGTGTTTATGGGACAGACAAAAGGACACCAGCAATCCTACCATCATGTAAAACAGTTACAGATTTCTGTTTCACACTCACTTGGCAGGACAGTAGTACCTCCCTGGGTGGTTGCTGTCTACCACCCAGGGCTTGGGATTGCATTAAGTGAATTAATGACATGCAGATTGGGTTTGCTGATTGTGTTCACAAGAGTTATAAGTGGTACATAAAACTCTTCCATATTCTGGACATTTCCATGCTCAATGCTTATAATATGTATAAGATGAGGACCAGAAACAAACCACAATATGGCGAATTTTGTTTGTCTGTCATCAGACAAATAATAAATCAAGTATCAAAGAACAGCACCTGCAATAGAAAACCGCCCATGAAATTATCAACAACTACCCTCTCGTCTGAAGCATGGTGATCACTTCTTAACAAAACTGCCTGCTACTGTTTTCAAGAAAAAGGCTCAGAAGAGGTGTTATGTTTGTGCACGTACAAAAAAAAAAAAAAAATGCCCACAACAACGCAGACACACTTGTTTTATGTGTGAGGAGTGTAAAACACCAAAGTGCATGACACCATGTTGCAAAGCCATCCAGAGGTTTTCTCGTGTTTTCACGGTCGCTCTTACGTGCTAGAACTTTAATTTGTGTCATCAATCCTATACGATACATCCCTCTAGCGCCTGGAACCAATCTTGGGCGGAAAACATTATATACTGAGTCAAAAAAGGAGAATTAGTGTGCACTACCTAGCAGAGTTTACTGCCAGAGGGGAATCATAGGCCTGTGTCCCGTGTGGAAAAATAATAATATTTGAACTTTTCGTGTCAGAGGAAAGAAAGTCTCCCTGAAAACATTGAGTATACAGTGGACCCCGGTTAACGATATTTTTTCACTCCAGAAGTATGTTCAGGTGCCAGTACTGACCGAATTTGTTCCCATAAGAAATATTGTGAAGTAGATTAGTCCATTTCAGACCCCCAAACATACACGTACAAACGCACTTACATAAATACACTTACATAATTGGTCACATTTGGAGGTAATCGTTATGCGGGGGTCCACTGTACATAGTGTATAGTGTATACTACAGTGGTCCCTAGTATATTGATGATAAAGGCTAAAGTGTTATTTGAAAACAGGTGAATTTGTAAATGAAGTGATAAGCCTATAGAGGCAGGTGCCAGAAGTCGCCAGAAACTTACCACAGGTCAGCTGTTTTTAATAATCTTCCTGGCCTGCTAGTGTACTCGCATATAATCTAGTGATACCAGTGAATAGCAGAATACAGTGTTGTAGTAGTAACTAACCAGTATTATAATGGTACTTAGTGGAGTGGAGTGACTTTCATTAGTTTCTTTTTCTTGAAATACCAGACGTATACTGTGAATTTCATATAACCTGTAGTTACCAGCGGTCGCAATATACACAACCAGAAGCAAATATTACTACAGAAAAAGCGTCCTTCCTCCAAAATTTGCACCAGTCAACTATAGTGATAATATAGCATTTATTGTGGTGGAGACGGAAAAAAAAATAGAAAAGCTAGATACAGCGATTCGTAAACAAGGGTGGAGGTCGACCGTTCGTCATTGTAGGAGTTGCCAGCAGTCACCGGCTCTTCAACACGCAAGTTATACTTTTGTATCAATCAAATCACATATTACTCGGGTAGATAATTTTCCAGTAGATCCTTCATGTGTTAGCTCAAATCACCGACCAGTATGGTTTAAATAAGTGACCCACTGATCAGATCAGATCGACTGGTCCGAACCCTTGACTGGTCCGAACCCTTGACTGGTCCGAACCCTTGACTGGTCCGAACCCTGGACTGGTTTCAAACGGTTTTTGTTGGACAATAAAGCAACTGTAAACGGATGGGGTTGTAGGCGCCCTTATAAACACAAACATTAAATATATATCAGGAACGTGCACAGTAAGCTGTCCAATATACAAAAACAGTTAGAAACAGAAATACAAATAGCTAGAGCTTCATTTAAGGAGGTTATTAATAGAATATTCAAGAGGTTGCTAGTAGAATTGCAGTAAAATCAACCATTCAAATCACTATGAAGCTGTGTGTAGTCTGTGGTCAGTCAAACAAACGGGCTTCCACATGCATAAATTGTCATTTTTGTGGAAATTGGTGTCACGCCCCTTGTGCAGATATCGAAGAACTAGCTACAAGCAGTATTAAAACAGGGAAGTGTTTTTGGGTATGCCCAAATGAGATAAATCTGTGGACTAAAATCACAAGGGTATTAAAAGAGGTCAACATCAAAGCTGCTTTCATAGAAAACCTGGAAGCTTTCTACAACAGATGGGAACATAAAAAGTCTGGGCTGAATGGTACTGCCCTTGATACTGGCCATGTAGTCAGAAACTGTAAGGCTGGAGATGATGTCCTGGTAGTCAGTAAATGTGGGCTGATAGTGCTGTCCTGGGAGACAGTAATGGTGAAGCTGGAGGTGCTGTCCTGGGAGACAGTAATGGTGAAGCTGGAGGTGCTGTCCTGGGAGACAGTAATGGTGAAGCTGGAGATGCTGTCCTGGGAGACAGTAATGGTGAAGCTGGAGATTTTGTCCAGGTAGTCGGGAATTATACGCAGGAAGGAATACATATAAATGACCTCATAGGGGACAGGGGCCA